TGGGCGCGGGGCGTGTCCCACGAGCGTAGCTCCTGAGGGGGACACGAGGACTCCAGCCACGGCTGTCGCAGTCCGTGGTCTTCCCCCCACACCCCCTCCTCCGCCTGATCCCCACTCAGAATGTTATCTTTTTTTTTTAATTGAAGCACACTTACAACGTGTCACTTACTGGTCCACACGTGGCGTCAGGACATACTCTGACGCTGCCGGCTACTAATTACATTCTCCTTTTTAAATTAACACACGGACGCCCCATCTGTCAGCATTTCACCAATGTCGTGGCGTCGCCGGGCACGGGAGCGGGGGGGCGGGGACGGAGAACAGAGGACCCTGTGAACCAGCCCTCGGAAGCTGAAGTGTGGGCTCACCAGCTGAGCTGGGAAAGCCACTCAGTGCCGGGGGGCAGGTGGTCAACACCGAGCGCTTCCAGGGGCACTGGTGGCCGCGACGTCTGAGGGCCCGGCTCAGGGAAGTAGTGCTCGACGAAGAGCACTAAAACCTTACTGTGTGAGGTGCCCGCTTCTGCTGTTCAGCTGTCACTAACGGGCAGGCACAGCGAGAGTGACGGCTTCCTCCCCGTAGGAAGCGCCTCTCGCGTCCTGGCGGGTCCCCCCACCCCCGCCCCCGCCCCCGGGCCCAGGGGTCCCTGCTGCACCTCCTGCACTCCTGACCTCCCCTTACAGGGCATCTTCCCCGCATCACACACGCGTCTCACCCAAAGTCGTGCCGCGGCGAGTTGGTTTTTCTGGGCACGCGGCGCCGTGACGTCAGCCCGGTAGCTGCGACCACCACTGCACTCAGGGGCGGGGCTTCCCGCCACCCCCGGCCCCTCCAGGGGCTCTCGGAGCGGCTCTCCCGACCTCCACTCTCCTGTTCTCTGACCCCGCACTGCCGTCTCTTCCTGCAGGTCACACGAACGGAGCCAGACTGGGTCCCCTTTCACCCCACGCAGGACTTCTGGGAGCCCGTGAGGCTGTGGCCCGGCCGCCCTCACTTCTTCCTGGCCTGGTGCCCCCTGTTCACGCTTTCGCCCCCGAAGGACACGCTGGTTAAGCTTTGGGTGGTGATGAGCACAGCTACTACAACCACCCCTGTACGGACTCTGAACCCAGCCTCCACTCCTCTGCGAGGAGTCCCGGGAGCAGGCCCACGGGCGAAGGCGTTTAAAGTGCCCAGAGACTGCACCCCTGTCCACGGAGGCCGCGCCGTTTGGCCTCTGCACAGCACCGCGGGGAGGCCTGGCTGTCCCACGTACGCACGGCCCCTGGCACCATCAGCCTTTCTTGTTTCGGCCCCTCTGCTATCCTGCTGTGGTTAATTTGCGTTTCCCTAACAGTTAGTGATGGGGCGCATCTTCTTGTGTGCTTGTTGGCCATTCTTAAATTCTCTTTGGTAAAGTGTTTCTTCACGTCTTTTGTTCATTTTTAAGTTGAGTTAGGTATTTTCCTCTAATTTTTGGGTTTGGAAATATCTTCATGGATTCTGGACGCACATTCTTTGTCACCTATGTGATCTGCAAATATCTTCCCCAAGTCTGTGGCTTGTCTCTTCTCTCTCACAGCAGTATCTTCCAGAGAGAAAACATTTTAAATTTTGATGAAGTCCAATTTACCAATTTCTTCTTTTGAGGATTGTGCTTAGGGTGTCAAGTTGCTGTGCACATTTTAAATCTGAGACAGTGACAGGACGGGAGCCACCGTCCAGACACCGAAGTCGTAAAGGGAGGGCCTGCGTGTGGGAGGGACCACAGGGACACGTCCAGAGACCTGGCTGCCAGGCTGTGGGTGGGAACTGAATGCCAGGTTCCTCTTCAGTAAAACGGGGGTTAACTAACTTTAAAAACAATTTTTTTTAATTATGCAATTTTTAAGAGCTCTTTTTAGTCTATAGAACTCAGAACACGTGACACTGTCTGTCTAGGCCCCTGTGGCTCATCAGACAGGAGCAGAGCTCAGTTGGGGACGGTCACAACTGTGCTGAGTGACCAGGAGGGGCCAGGCCAGATGGAGATGGAGCCGGGACCCCGCCCAGCATGCGAGACGGGGTGCGGGAGGGCCAGGCAACTGAGCCTGCTCCCAGGAGCTCTGGAGACACCCACAGTCACCGGCGGTCACCTCGGTGACGAACAGGACGTCCTCCAGACCGAAACCTCGTCGGGGAACCGAACCAGACAAGCCAGTTGACCGGGCAGATCAAGCGTCCTCTCGTTTCAGACTCCTCTCTGCATGGCGCTTCTTGACGGCTGCACTGTGTGTTTAGCACTCTCTGGTCCCAGCCCTCCTGGAGGTGAGGGGGGTCGTGAGGGTGTGGCCGGGCCAAGGGCCCACGTGGAGGCCAGATGAAGTGCACACTCAGCGCCCGAGCGCGGTGACCCACGGGCACGGGCCGCCTGACGTAGACAGGAGGGGGCACGGCCAGCAGCGCACACTCCCTGCCGTCACTAGATCGCACCAGCTCTCCCCGATTTGGAGAAAATCAGAAGGTACTTGTGCCCAATAAACAGCTGTGAGAAGAAGGAAGAGGCAGCTCGCCACCGCTGTGCCTCACACCACCGGGGGGCGCAGAGGTCCCGACGGCGCCCTCCCTGACCCCTGTGAGTGGGACACACTGCGGTCTGTGGTCCCCGCTCCGGCCGAGCTGGCGCACCCGGCCCCAATCACAGCTCTACTGCGGGCTCCAAGCCCGACCCCACGGCCCCACCAGGCGGGCGGCACCGCTGTGTCAGTGCACCCCCCACCCCAGCCCCGCCCGGCCCTGGCGGCGCTGCCCTTCCAGCAACGGCGCCTACGGCTCCTCGCTCGCAGGGCGGTGGAAACCGAGACGCACGGGAGCAGAGGGACCACAGGCCTGCTCATCTCCCTGCTGGCACCAGCCGGGGCCCATTACCTCCTCCTCCCCACCACAGCCCGTACTGCTTCCTGAAGTGAACCGGTGCCACAGCCAGTCACACGGTTTCCTTAGATGTTCATCCGAAATTTAATAGGTGAAATTATACTCAATCAATTGCTTGCAGGTGTCCTAACTACATTTTGTCGATTCCTTTCTTAACTGTATTTGTACTTACATTTTACAAATCTAAGTTCTCATAAAAAAACTAAACACGATGGAAAAAATTAGTCCCTTCACACTGTGCCTCCTCGATTCTTGCTCCAAATTCCACTCTCCTGCCCAGAGTGCAATGCAAATTCTCACTTCACGCCTCGAGACGTGCGCACCCAGTGACATGGTGTGGTCAGCACCCTCCTTGTATCTGCCATGTGACAAGCAGTCCCCATGGGAAAGTGGGGCACTGAGTCCACGATGCCCTTGTGGTGACCGTTCAGGCCAACATTCTTGTGTGTTTCCTCTGATCTGTGGGCAAGTCGTTTTCCAGGAGAGTAACCTAGAAGCTTGCTTCTCCTACCCGATTTAAGTACATTCAGGCCTTTGCTGTTTTAGCATGTGATTTTGTATATCAAAACTTAGAGAACACCTATCTTGCCTGTCAGTTCTAGAGGAAGTGGGGTTGAGTGCAGAAGTGTTAGGAACCACTTTGGTGAATCAGGATGAGTGAAATGGACATGGAAACAAATATACAAAAAATGCAGGTCAAGTTTAGGATCTGCATATGCAGAGACAGACCTTCATATGCAGAGACCTCCACGTGCAGAGACGTCTACATGCAGGGATCTCTATGTGCAGTGACTGGTCTCTGTGTGCAGAAATCTCTACATGCAGTGATCTCTATGTGCAGAGATCTCTATGTGCAGTGATCTATGTGCAGAGATCTCTACACGCAGTGATCTCTATGTGCAGGGACTGACCTGCACGTGCAGTGACTGGTCTCTGTGTGCAGAAATCTCTACATGCAGTGATCTCTATGTGCAGTGATCTCTACGTGCAGAGATCTCTACATGCAGCGATCTCTATGTGCAGAGATCTCTACATGCAGCGATCTCTACGTGCAGTGATCTCTACCTGCAGAGATCTCCACCTGCAGAGATCTCTACGTGCAGTGATCTCTACCTGCAGAGATCTCTACGTGCAGTGATCTGCGCAGTGATCTCTATGTGCGGGGACCGACCTGCACGTGCAGTGACTGGTCTCTACGTACAGCGATCTCTACGTGCAGCGATCTCTACCTGCAGAGATCTCTACGTGCAGTGATCTCAACGTGCAGTGATCTCCACCTGCAGAGATCTCTATGTGCAATGATCTCAACGTGCAGTGATCTCCATGCACAGAGATCTCTACGTGCAGTGATCTCTACCTGCAGAGATCTCCACCTGCAGAGATCTCTACGTGCAGTGATCTCCACCTGCAGAGATCTCTACGTGCAGTGATCTCAACGTGCAGTGATCTCCATGCACAGAGATCTCTACGTGCAGTGATCTCTATGTGCAGCGATCTCTACCTGCAGAGATCTCTACATGCAGTGATCTCAACGTGCAGTGATCTCCATGCACAGAGATCTCTACCTGCAGAGATCTCTACCTGCAGAGATCTCTAAGCGCAGTGATCTCTACGCGCAGTGATCTCTATGTGCAATGATCTCTACGCGCAGTGATCTCTATGTGCAGTGATCTCTACCTGCAGAGATCTCTACGCGCAGTGATCTCTACCTGCAGAGATCTCTAAGCGCAGTGATCTCTACGCGCAGTGATCTCTATGTGCAGTGATCTACGCAGTGATCTCTATGTGTGGGGACTGACCTGCACGTGACTGGTCTCCGTGTGCAGGGATCTGCATGCTTGGCTTTGGCTCAGTGTCGGAAGTGTTTATAAATGTTCAAAACGGTTCAGCTTTTCTTCCCTTCCTTTTAACGTGGCTCCGCATTCAGCTGTGTCCCATGCTACGCCCGACATAACAGTCACAAGCGTGACCTCAATCCGAGAACAAAAGAACACCCCACATGAAAGGAAACATCTTGAGCTGATTGGCGGTACTTCTGAGAATCAAGAGTGAAAATGGGAGACTTCCCATCACACCGGAGGCCACAACAGCTTAAGAACCTGACTTACTTTTCTATCAGATCCAGCGTGACTCCAGGCACCAGACTGACGCATTTCTGCATGCAAAACCTGCAGAGAGAGAAAGGAGAGTGAGTCACAGCAGTGGGATATTGGATGGAAACGCAACAGTCCCACAGGAAAATCAGAGTGGAAGGTGGGGACGGGGACTGTTACGCCGAAGAAGTAAAGCCAGATTTTTTTTCCATCAGCGTTTAGGCTTAGGAAGAAAATCTCCCTGAACCTGTCCAGGGGCAGGAACACGAGAGCGGCGGTGGGAGGAGAGGAACACGCCTGGGGGACAGCAGGGCTGACCCTGGGCCCAGGGCGACTCCACAGGAGAGGCGTCTGCCCGGATGATGAACAAACGGCACTTTTCTGTTTTCCTTCTCGAGGAAGCAAGCTGGAGAGAGTGATGCAAGAATCAATGAGCCACCTCCAGGCACATAAAGAAAATCTGTGAGCGCGAAGAGAAATGAATTCAATGGTAGCATTTTAATGATCATAAAGTCACAGGAGTCAGAGCTGTGAGACTCAGTCCTCTCTGCAGAGCCTTCCTTCCTGGAGGGCTGGCAGCTTCCTGGAGCCCTGAGCGGTGGCCGGGCTCCACCTAACGTATGGGCACTGACAGAAGGTCCGGAACCATCTTCCTTTCTTCCTGCAGGGGTATTGGCAGCTGGCAGGGCAGAATCAATGGAAGCGCTGGGTGAACAGGCAACTCAGTATTTGTCGTGGGAGAAATGGAAAACATTTAACTCGCCTGCTTTAAAAATTCAGAACAAATAACCCCCAGTAAAACAGCAGCAGCAGGCTCGCAACAAACACACCTGTGAAATGCGTTTCCGCGTCACTAGCTGGACGGGAGGCGTCGGGGAGGGCTGGGGAGGGCTGCGGGCTCAGGGAGGGGCCGAGGACAAGGTCCGGCGCACCCAGGAGACAGGAGAGAAAGTCAAGGCGGCAGAGAGACCTAGAGGCCAGGGGACAATGGACCTGGCTGTGAAGATGGAGGCTGGTGGGACACCGGCTCCCAACCGGCAGCCTCCGTGCGGGGACCCGCGTGCCCCGCCGGCCAGTGCTCCCCGTCCACAGAGCAGAAGCGGCAGAAGTCAGGGCCACAGCTGTCTGACAGGCCGCAGCCCTCCCAGGTGCAGGCGGTGGGCTGCCCGGACGCCCCGCCCGTCAATCCTCCAACACCCCCTTCTGCTTACTCCACGCCAGCCGCGGCTGCCCCCCACCCCGTCCCCGCGCGGCTCCGACAGCAGCTGCACGTGGCTCAGGGTCCCCAGCGGACGGCCATGGTCCGCAGGAAACGCACTTTCCAGTCCAATTCGGAGCCCTGTGCAGACAGGGCTGCTCTGTTGTCCCTTCCCCGGAGGCACACTTCCTGCCCGGGCCGCTGCCTTCGTGATGACAGAACAGCCTGCACCTGACTAATCCCCTTGTCAACAACAGTGACAGCCTCTGGGCAAACGCAGAAAACAAGCATGGAGCAAGCAAAAGGGGAGGGCAGGGCGCTCTGGGCAAGATCCGCCCTAACCGGCTTTCCCACGTGGGCTCCCCGACTCCCACGGCGCGGGGCACAGGGCTCCCCGGGAGCGCCCAGGATGGGAGATCAGAACCCCAGGCGGCCAGGAGCCAAACTTGCCGAGCAAGCTCTCCTCCAGTCCGGGGCTGACCGCACGGGTGCGGGGCCAGGCCCAAGGGGCCCCGGGGACACCAGAGCTGAGGGGCTGAACACGCACAGTGGAGGTTTCCACACCTGCTCCCCGTGTGCACGTGGACGGGGACGGCTGGCGCCACGTCAGGGGGCGCGATCAACACCCGGGGCTTGCACGGACGCCCAGACGGCTCGTGCCCTCAGCTACAACCAGGGTCCGGGAGTCAGAGCCACACCCCAGAACTAGGACCGAGGTCAAAGGCAGCCCTACAGCCGAGAGGCCACAAGGCCAACTACACCATCTGCACAGAGCTGGACGCTCTTCGGGGGAAGACAGCAGAACCCAGAGTTTCTCATCCACGGTGGAGGGCGTCCTACCTAAAACCAAGAGGGAAAGGCTAACAGCGCCAGGCTCGAGGCTGACCACATTCTGCAGTCAGACTTTGAAATCATAAAGATAACCTAACTATTACAGATGCTGGCCTGTAGCTCGGCCCGGTACAGCAGGCACAGTGCAGGAGCTGACGCACGCGACGTCGCCTTTTTCAGTCTGTGTGCGCGCCGTCCCGGGCGCTTGAGGCACAGCGGCCCGCGCGCGGAGGGCGGGCACGGCCCTCCTGGGGGAGGCGGCTCTGACTGTCTCATCGCGGCTGAGCACACACACTTTCTGACTTCTTGCCAATACTGGGTTTATCAACAGAAAAGGAAAACAAACCCTCCCCCTCGCTGACAGGTGAGCAGTGACGCGTCGCTGGGACTTCTTCGATTGTCACTGAGGGCAGACGCCGACCAGGGGTTTTTCCGGTCCTCTGTATCTTCCTTTTGCCTGTTGCCGCTCTACGCCCTTCTTGTCTTAGTGACTTTAAGTGTTTACACGTGGACAGAGTGACGCTTGGTGACACGATCTCCCCATTTTACAATTTTATTTCAACTTTTGCTTGTTGTTTTCTTTGCCATACAAAACTTAAAAGCAGCGTCTAACAAAATCCATCACTTCCTTTTCAGCTCTTTAATTCTAACTGGCAGCTGTTACAGAAACAGTACTTCTGTGAGTTTTTTTTTAACTTTAAAACCTCAGTATATTTGGAATTTATTTTATTAAGGCAAGAGGTAGGGATTAAAAAGAATTTCAAGTGGTCAGCCGTGGGCCCCAGGTAATAACCGAGCACTTCATTCTTTTTCCAAATGACAACCTCTTACGTAACAGACGCTGTTTCTGGAATTCTCTACCCCGTTCCAAAGATGCAAATGTCAGCTCCTACTCCACCCGCGCCTTCAGAATGCATGTCAATAACTAGCAGGACAAGTTTCCTTTCACAAACCTAATTTTTAAAAAAATTTTCATGGCTATTCTCAAACATCTACCCTTCCAGTTGACCTTTAAGAGCACGTCACCAAGATGTGTCAAATCGACGGTTTAATTCGGGGAGAATTTCTACCCTCAATCTTCTGTCTCAGCGTGGAGTAGCAGCGTGGCCGCTCCCTTCACGTGTTCACACAGCCCTCCGCACCCATCAGCCAGGGCTGTGGACCTTCTGCGCACCTGTCCCAGGCGCTCAGCTTTCTCGCTGCTACTGCTGCTCCTGAGAGCCAGGTTTACTTTCCCGCCCAGTATTTCCTCGCTGGCTATTTGTAATATATAAAAAGGGTGACAATTTTAAGGAAATTATTGTGAAGTACACTCTGTATGAAGCGCACACAAGACACAGATGTGAGTTTAAGGAATAATAAAGTTACAAAACCTAAAAGGCCCCCCGCGGCCCCGCCATGGCATGTGCCCAGCGCCCCGTGGCGGCCTGGACACCCGTGGTACTGACTTGTATTCACTTAGCGACCAGTCGCGCTGCTGAGCATGCACATTACCACTAACAGTTTTCCAATGGGTTTTATTGCTTCCTCTGTTGTTGCAAAGTTAAAACTGAGATCAGACACAAACAATGCAAATCTGCCTTCTTGTTAGCACGTGCGTACCTTTCACTCCATTCTCATACCTGCTCATTATATTGTCTAGTGTTTCCAGGACAGTTTGTTGAGTGAATTCCAGCTGGGACACCCCCGCCCTCAGATCACACGGAGACACAGCGCTGAGGCATCAGCGCAAGATGGGAGCCGCTGGGCTCGAGGACAATTTCCCTCACGTGAAGGAAGTATTCTTCTGTTTTTATTGCAAGTTTTTATTAAAACTCATTTTTAATTTTATCAGATAACTTTCCTCCTCTCACCTATTAAGATGATGAATTCTGCTAATAGGCAGCTTAACAGAAAGCCACCAGCGCAGCCCTGGACGAGCTCACTTGGCCAGGCAGACGGCCCTCCCGCTCCGCCGCAGGGCTGACTGCTGGTGTTTCACGATGAAGTCTTTGCAGTGGCAGCACGCACACATGTGTACACGTGTGTGTCTGTGCACATCTGTGCGTGCGTGTGTGCCCCTCTGTGTGTGTATGTACACGTGTGTACAGGTGTGTATGTGTGTCTGTGTGCAGGTATGTCTGTGTGTCTGTGTACAGGTGTGTATATATCTGTGGGGGTGTGTGTATATCTGTGTGTCTGTGGGTATGTCTGTGTGTGTGTCTGTGTGTGTACAGGTGTGTGTGTCTGTGTGTGTACAGGTGTGTCTGTGCGTGTGCAGACACACCGCACCTGTCGGGCCTGGCGCCCAGTCGGGGCAGCTCCCTGCAGAGAGCGGGCAAGCTCCCGCTGGCTGAGGCACGGCCCAGGCTCACACTGTTTCGTTATCATGTCTTCCATCCCATGTTTTGGGGATAAGTATCTGTTTGTTGAGTCTTCACTGTTTCATTTTTCTTGCTTCTCACTTTTTAAAATTGCTTTCTGTTTCCTATACTCTACTTCTGACCGATTTTAAGGTCGCCCAAACTTTGGAACTAACCTTGGCTTCTTAAAGTGTTCCTTCCCTTGCTAGTTCTCTTTTCATCCTGATGTACAGTTTTCTCATCTCAATATTCATTTTTTCAGAGCCCACTTTTCTATCACTTCACTGAGGGCACCAGGCATGTGCTGCCTCCTTGCCGGAGCCCCGTGTGACCACACCTGAGTTCGTGCTGCTCAGGTGACTGGGGTGGGGGCTGCTCACCAGGGGGACCAGACCTGGATGACAGGTGAGGACTTTCAGCCCCACGCTGACCTCCAACCTCTGACCTCAGGGAGGAGGGGGGCTGGAGACTGAGCTCAGAGGAATCCTGGACGAGAGCTCCCAGGCTGGCGCTCTCTGGAGGGGTGACCCCGCTCTGGCGGGAAAGACGGGGCTCCCGGGGTCTCACTCAGCACCTTCCAGGCAGGCCCAGCCAGCACCTGGGTCAAAGGGCAGATGCGGGGCAGGAAGGGCCTTGCGGGACTGAGCCCCACTGCAGGCTGCTACTCGAGCTCTGATTCAGCCCCCAGAGTGCCGGCTGGCGTC